GGGCTCGCCGCCTCAGACCCCCCCCCTCCGCCGCCCCCCCCCCCGAATGCGCGCCGCTGGATGCGCGCCGCTGGGCGCCCTTCTCTCGTGGCAGAGGGCGCGCCGAACTCCGCCCCCTGCCGGGCCCCTCGCCGGCCACGGCAGAGGTCCAGACAACAAACGCAAGGAGCACACAGACCTTCGCACTGGGCGCGAATTCGTGGGGGAGGGCGATACATGGGGGGGGGAGACAAGCACCCTTTTCGGGCCCTCGAGGCCCCCTGTTGGGGCCCTCGAGGGCCCCCGTCATGGGCCTCAGAGGGCGCCCATTTTCTGGAGCCCTCGCTGCCCCCCCCACCCCACCATGTTTATCGCCCCCCCCCAGGCCGCGCCCCCCGTGATCTGGAGGCCTGTCCGGGGGGCCGCCCGGCCCTCTGTCGCTCTCCGTGCCGCCGCCGCCGCGGTGTTCTGACGTGCCTCCCCCCGCCCTCCTCCCCGTCCCCGATTCCCACCTCTCGCCAACATCACCCGCTTCTCTCCTCCGCCTTCTGCTTTCCGTCTACTCCTCTCTTCCTCCTCCTCCTCCTCCTCTCCTCCTGCCCTACTCCTCCTCCTCCTCTCATCCTCCTCTCCTCCTCCTCCTCCTCCTCTCCTCCTCTCCCTCCTTCTCTATGTCCTCCTCTCTCGTCCTCCTCCTCTCCTCCTTCCTCTCCTCCTCTCTCCTCCTTCCTCCTCTCCCTCTCCTCGCCTCCTCCTCCTCCTCCTCCTCCTCCTCCTCCTCCTGCCTTCCTCCTCCTCCTCCTGCCCTCCTCCTCCTCCTCCTCCTCCTCCTCCTCCTCCTCCTCCTCCTTCCCCTCCTCCTCCTCCTCCGCCCCCGCCCTCCTCCTCGGCCCTCCTCCCCCGCCCTCCTCCTCTGCCCTCCTCCTCCGCCCTCCTCCTCCGCCATCCTCCGCATCCTCATCCTCCTCTCCTCCGCTCCTCACCTCCTCCATCTCCTCCTCCTTCCGCGATCCTCCTCATCCTCCTCTCCGCCTCCTCCTCCTCCTCCTCATCCTCTCCTCCTCTCTCCTCCTCTCCTCCTCCCACACCTCCTCCTCGCCCTTGCCTCGTCTCGTCCTCTGTTCCTCGTCTCGTCCTTGTCCTCCTTCTCTACTCTTCTCCTCCTCCGCCTCCTCCTTCCTTCCTCCTCATCTCATCCTCCTCCTCCTCCTCCTCCTCCTCCTCCTCCTCTCCCTCCTCTCCCTGTGCCCGTGCCCCCCATCGCAGCTCCGCGCGGCCCCGTCGGGCCGCCTGCAGCGCAGGCACGCGGCGCCAGGTCCGGCGTGAGCAGCCACGACACGTACCTCGACTGCACGCAACGAGTGGCCCTGGGCAAGAGTGGCCTTTGGTGCGCGGCCTTTTTGGGGGGGCAGCGGGGGGACCAAACACAAGCGCGCGCCAGACGCTAACACCGCATCGCGTTCGGCGATCGGGGGGTCCCCATTGGGCACGCACCGAGGGACCGAGGGTCACTCAAGCGAAGGGTTGCTCTTGCGTGTAGTCGAGTACCAGTCCTCCGCCCGGGGTGGCCGCGGGGGCTCCGGGCCCGGCAACCGAACGCCCTCGGCGCCGTACCTGCGCTGGAGGAGGAGGTGGAGGAGGAGGCGGATGCGGAGGTGGAGGCGGAGGCGGAGGAGGAGGAGGAGGAGGAGGAAGAGGAGGAGGAGGAAGAGGAGAAGGAGGAGGAGGAGGAGGAAGAGGAGGAAGAGGAGGAGGAGGAGGAGGAGGAGGAGGAGGAGGAGGAGAAGGAGGCTGAGGAGGAGGAGGAGGGAGGGAAAAGGAGACAGAGGAGGAAGAGGAAGAGGAGGAAGAGGAAGAGGAGGAGGAAGAGGAGCAGGAGGAAGAGGAGGAGGAGGAGGAGGGAGGAGGAGGAGGAGGAGGGCGAGGAGGAGGAGGGGGGGAGGCGATGGCGGATGCGGATGCGGATGCGGATGCGGATGCGATGCGGATGCGGATGCGGCGGCGGAGGAGAGAGGAGGAGGAGGAGGAGGAGGAGGAAAGGGAGAGGGAGAGGCGGATAATGAGGAAGAGGAGGACAAGGAAGAGAAGGAGAAGGAGGAGAGGAGCAGGAGGAGAAGGAGGAGGAGGAGGAGGAGGGGGTGGCGCAAGAGGAGAAGGACGAGGAGGTGGAGGAGGGGGAGAAGAGGAGGAGGAGGAGGAGGAGGAGGAGGAGGAAGGAGGAGGAAAAGGAGGAGAAGGAAAAGGGAGGAGGGGGAGGAGGAGGGGGAGGAGGAGGGGGGGGAGGAGGAGGAGGGAGGAAGAGAGGAGGAGGAGGAGGAGGAGGAGGAGGGAGGAGGAGGAGGAGGAGGAGGAGGAGGAGGAGGAGGAGGAGGGGGAGGCGGGGGAGGCCGTGCAACTTTGGCCGTCGATCGGTCCGTCTGGGCCGCCCTGCCACCACTGGGCTCCTTGATCCTGCGTTTCGCTGCCCCCTGCGCGACTCGTCCGTGCACCCGACTTTGTCGACGCGCGGCCCCCCGACCCCTTCCCCGGGACAGGTACGGTCTCGGGGTTGGTGAAGGCCCCCGGAGGCCCAGAACAATTTTCGAAGGTCTCGGGGTCGGCGAGGGCCCCCGGAGGCCCAAAACGGCTAAAAAAACCTCCCGTCGTGCTTTTCATCACGACGCAACCGTGTGCGCACCTGGCCCCCCGAAGTCCCGACCCCTTCCCCGGGACCGGTTGTTCATCCTGAACCGTTTTTCGAAGGTCTCGGGGTCGGTGAGGGCCCCTGGAAGCCCAAAACGCCTAAAAAGGCCTCCCGTCGTGATTTTCATCACGACGCGATCGCGTGCGCACCTGGCCCCCGGAACCGGAAGTCCCGACCCTTTCCCCGGGACCGGTTGTTCATCCTGAACCGTTTTTCGAAGGTCTCGGGGTCGGTGAGGGCCCCTGGAAGCCCAAAACGGCTAAAAAGGTCTCCCGTCGTGCTTTTCATCACGACGCAACCGTGTGCGCACCTGGCCCCCGGAAATCCCGACCCCTTCCCCGGGACCGGTTGTTCATCCTGAACCGTTTTTCGAAGGTCTCGGGGTCGGTGAGGGCCCCTGGAAGCTCAAAACGGCTAAAAAGGCCTCCCGTCGTGATTTTCATCACGACGCGATCGCGTGCGCACCTGGCCCCCGGAAGTCCCGACCCCTTCCCCGGGACCGGCTGTTCATCCTGAACCGTTTCTCGAGGGTCTCGGGGTCGGTGAGGGCCCCCGGAGGCCCAAAACGGGTTTAGGGTTTAGGGTCTACAAGCTCTGCCGCAACTGATCCCCTTCTGCCTAGGGGCCCACATGCGGTGGCTGTCAATCCCACCCGCAAACCACCCCCCATAAAGATCATCTCTCCCCTCGTTGTAATTACAGCGAATACCGCTCCTGACGCGGTGGCAATAGAATGTCGTCGGAATCCCGTTTCAGCACGTCCAAACAAACACAATCACGCGTCTCGACCAATGTCGAGGCGCTCCCTGTGGGGCATGATGCGTGTGAGAGGTGTGCCGAAATGACCCGAGCAGTGCCGATGGAGACACGCGTCGGGACCATGGGAGCGCCTGGGAGCGCTGGGAGCGCTTGGAACCGCATCGGAGCATGGTGAGCGCCGAACGCATCAAGAACCTGCGCCAGCGGCGCACGTAGGAAGGCAACTCAGGAGTAGCAACTCAGGATTATGCACACATGATCCGAAAATGCTATTTCTACCAGGAATGGTGAAAGATGGCGCGCCGCGCGAGTATATTTGAATCGCAATAGATTCTGCGTGCACGATCAGGAAATACTTGTTTTTCAAAGGATGGTGCCGGTCCGCACGCGGCTCATAGCATTTGTAATGTAAGCCGCAATGGATTCCTGCACGCATGATGAGGAAATATTTGTTTCCTAAGGATTGTGCCGGGTCGTATGCGGCTCGTGGCATTTGTAATGTAAACCGCAAGGGATTCCTGCACGCATGATCAGGACAGAAAAACTGTTGCAAGGGATGGTGCCGGGTCGTATGCGGCTCGTGGCATTTGTAGTGTAACTCGCAATGGATTCTCCACGCATGATCAGGAAATAATTGTTTTGCAAGGGATGGTGCCGGCTCGTATGCGGCTCGTGGCATTTGTAATGTAACTCGCAATGGATTCTGCACGCATGATCAGGACATACTATTCCTTGCAAGGGAGACTGCCGGCTCGTATGCGGCTCGTGGTATTTGTAGTGTAAATCGCAATGGATTCTGCACGCATGATCAAGGCATACTTTTTTTGCAAGGGATAGTGCCGGGTCGTATGCGGCTCATACGAAGCCGGTTTTACGGGCTTTAGGATCAAATCGTTATAGGATTAAAAATTTAAACGCTAAAATCTCGAATCTTACGTTTGGACATCATGGCCCCATGCGTCCTGGTTCCATCCGAACTCCTGAACCCTGCCATCCCGTGCCAAAAATACGATTTCCTGTCAACCCCCGGATGTAAACCAGCGCCATCCCTTCAACTGATATTATTTCCTGATCATGCGTGCTGTAAATCGTCGCCATTCCTTGCAACAGATATGATTTCCTGATCATGCGTGCTGTAACCCCTCGCCATCCCTTGCAAAACATACTATTTCCTGTTCGTGCGTGCTGTTAACCCTCGCCATCCCTTGCAACAAATATTATTTCCTGATCACGCGTGCATGATCCATTGCGTTTCACAATACAAATGCGCGTCCGCGGACTTAAACCCTCGCCATTCCTCGCGAAAACAATATTTCCTGATCGCGCGTTCATACACCTATGAGACTTTCCTTACCAAGTGCGCCGCTGTCTCAGAATCCGGTGTTTTATAATCTGACTGCCATGATGTTTCAGGCGCTCACAACGCTCCCAGGCGCTCCCAAGCGCTCCAAGCGCTCCCAAGCGCTCCCAGGCGCTCCCAAGCGTTCCCAGGCGCTTCCAGGCGTTCCAGGCGCTCCCAAGCGCTCCCAGCGCTCCCAGGCGCTCCCATGCGCTCCCATTCGTTGTGCTTACAACGAAGGGAAAGATGATCTTTATGGTGGAGTGGTTTGCGGGTGGGACTGGCAGCCACCGCAGGCGGGCTCCTAGGCAGGAGGGGATCAGCTGCGGCAGAGCTTGTAGCCCCTAAACCCTAAACCCAAACCCGTCGTGCTTTTTATCACGACGCGATCATGTGCGCATCTGGCATGTATGTATGTATGCATGCATGCATGCATGCATGTATGTATGTATGCGTGCATGCATGCATGTAGGTATGTGTATATACACACCTATTTACATGTCTTCATAGGGCCGGGGGGCCCGGAAAGAGTGCACCCCCTTGACACCTCCCCCAAAACGAATTTCGAATCCTCGGGCCTGTCTTGCGCCTTGGGTTTTCTTGGATGTTCGACTTTCCAGGCCCTGTTGAGCCAGCCTTAGGCCTCTTTGGGGCTCGTCTGGGGACTCATATGGAGCCGTCCCAGGACTATCTGGACGCCTCAAGAGCCGATCGTAAGCGAACAGGCGAGAAGACCCAAATCATTGATTTCCCAATGGGTTTTCATTGATTTTCAATTCTTTAGGTCTGGCCTTCTTCGGCCAGCCTTGTGCCTCTTTAGGGCTCGTCTGGTGACTCATTTGGAGCCGTCCCGGGACTATCTGGGCGCCTCAAGAGCCGATCGTAAGCGAGAAGGCGAGAAAGCCAAAAACATTGATTTTCCAAAGGGTTCGCATGGAATTTCAATTCTTTGGGCCTTCATCCGCCAGCCTTGGGCCTCTGTGGGCCTCGGCTTGCGCCTCTCTGGAGCCATCCTGGGGCTATCTTGACGCCTCCCGAGCCGACCAGAAGCGACAAGGCGATAAGACGGAAAACATTGCTTTTCTAATTTGTTTTTTCACATAATATTCGAACCTCCGGGCCCTCTAGAGCCAATCTGTGCCCTCTTTAGGGCTCGTTTGGGGACTCATTGGGAGCCGTCCTGGGCCTATCTTGATGCCTCAAGAGCCAATCGGAAGCGACAAGGCGAGAAAACCAAAAACATTGATCTTCCAATGGGTTATCACGGATTTCTAATTATGTGGGCCCTCTTCGGCCACCTTTGGGCCTCGGTTGACGCCTCTCGAGCCAACCGGAAAGGAACAAAGAGAAGGCCGAACACATTGTTTTTCCAACGGGTTTTCTCTGATGTTTGACTCTCCAGGCCCTGTCGGGCCAGCCTTAGGCCTCTTTGGGGCTCGTATGGGGCCGTCCCGGGACTATCTGGACGCCTCAAGAGCCGATCGTAAGCGAACAGGCCAGAAGACCCAAAACATTGATTTTCCAATGGGTTGTCATTGAATGTCAATTTGGGGGGCCTTCTTGGGCCAGCCTTGGGCCTGTTTGGGGCTCGAAGCCGGCAGCCCAGCAACGCGAATGCAGCAAATAGCGTGTTATGCAGGAGGTGGAAGAAGAGGAGGAGGCGGAGGAGGTAGAGGAGAAGGAGGAGAAGGAGGACGAGGAGGAGGAGGAGGAATTAGAGGAAGAGGGGCAGAGAGGAGAAAGAGGATGAGGATGAGGAGGAGAAAGGGCAGGAGGAGGCGGAGGAGGAGGAGGAGGAGAAGGAGGAGGAGGAGGAGGATAAAAGGGGGAGGA